TTGAACGGTTACCGGTCCACACCGGTTACCGGTTGAACGGTTACCGGCCCACACCGGTTACCGGTTGAACGGTTACCGTTAGACCGGTTACCGATTAGACCGGTTATCGTCACCGTTGCATCCCTAAGCGTGGGTGTGGGTGACAGTGTGGGTGTGGGTGTGGCTGGGTGAGGATAAAGGTGAGGGTGAGTAAGATATCATCACCCTCACTCACCCACCTACACTCACACCCACATCCACACCTACCCACATCTACACCCACACCCACTCACACCCACCCACACCCCACGCCCACACTCACACTGACACCCACACCCACACCCACACCCACACCCACACCCCTAAATGATAATCAGGGTGTGAGTATGAATATTGATACTCTATCCTTGTATATACACACCTCAAAAAGAGTCAGAAGCACTGGAAAAAAAGGTTTATTGAATAGAAAAATAAGAGAGTAGAATTTAAAGTGTCATTTGAACTTTTTCAAATGTTTCTTTATAGTCTGAAAGGTGAGGGTGATCCAAAGATAATCTTATTTCAGCAATTTTCATCGCTTTTTGAATGTGTTCTGTCGCCTTACTACGTTCTCCAGTAGCCAAATATAATTTTGCTAAACTGTCACTGATAAGAGCTAAGTCTGGATGATCTTTTGGTAGACGTGTTTCGTGTATTTCTAATGCTTTTTGAAAAAATGTTAATGCTGTTGCATAATCTTTCATTTCTCGATAAGTGTCACCCATATTCGTATATACTGTTGCACATTCCAAAGGACTACATGGAACTATTTCTTGAATATTCAATGCTTTTTGATGATATGAAAGTGCCGTTTCATAATCTTCTAATAATCGATAAACATCACCCATAAAACTATATGTCATAGCATATTTTAAATTTTTTTCGGTTAGTTTATGATTAAATATTGTGAGACACTTTTCAAAATAATCAAGTGCCGTAGAGTATTCCTTCATACCGTGATAAATTTTTCCAAATTCCATATATGTGTCAGTGAACTGTAGATTACTTTCTTCAAATACTTTTTGCTGAATCTGAAAAGAATTTTGAAGGTTGTGAAGAGCTGAGACGAATTTACCCATCCTTCGATAGCAAGCTGCCAAGTTTCTATAACTAACAGCCAAATCAGGATGATCCGGCGATAGAGATTTCTCTCTGATTTTAAGTGCTTTTTCGTAAAACTCAAATGCTTTCGAATAGTCACCCATGTCTTCATATACAAGACCGATGTTTCTGTAGGTGAAAGCAAAATCGGGATGATTCGGATGAAGAGATTCTTCTCTTATTTGAAGTCCTTTTTGGTAAAACTCAAGTGCTTTCGAATAGTCACCCATGTCTTTACACAACGCACCGATGTTGTTGCACGAAACAGCCAAATTGGGATGATTCGAAGGTAAAGATTTTTCGTGGATCCTATGTGCTTTTTCGTAATATTCAAGCGCTTTCGAATAGTTACTAACATCGTGATATGCAACAGCAACGTTGTTGTAGGCCGTAGCCAAATGGGGATGGTTAGCAGGCAGGATCCTTTCTGTAATTTCTAGATCTTTTTCATAAAACTCAATCGCTTTTGTGTAATGACCCATGTAGTAATATACGACACCAATGTTGTTGTAAGCTCTTGCCACATCAGAATGATCCGAAGCCAGATCTCTTTTTCTTATTTTAAGTACTTTTTCAAGAAATTCAAGTGCTTTCGAATACTCGCCCATGGTGGTATATACCTCACCAATGCCATCGTAGGTGTCCGCTAATGAAAGATGCTCTTCATGAAAAATATTTTTCTTGATTTCAAGGGATTTTTCATAAAATGAAATTGCATTTTCGTATTTTCCTGCCAGTTTATTTACGTATCCGAGCTGATGATAGACTTCTGCTCTATCACTATCACTCGATGAACTTTTGAATAATTCACTATAAAGATCTTCAGCTTGCTTGAAGTGACCTGCTCGAATCATTAAATCACCCAAACGCTGCCATCCTGTCGATCCATGAAGCTCCCCTTCTATACGATCAGTAAGTGCAGCCAGTTGTGGATCCTTATGATCTGTTAGAGTCAGTTGAACTTCCCATAGACGATTATTATTCACGGTCTGCTTTATATCTTCAACACGAAAAATGCTATGCATTGAAAATAGAGCTTCTTTTTCCCTTGCAATAGCACTATATGCATCGATAAGTGCAAAAGGAGCGTTTGAGATTGACACTCTATTTGGATCAATCGTGATAATGAAGAGAACACCTACAGTATCATTCTTTTGCAACGCACGTTGGATGAATTCCATGGCGATGTCTTTTTCTATACTAGTAGATAAGAAGTTGTTAAACGAAAGAAGTCCACCTTTCGTATCAACTAAATGCTGGAAGTCTTTTTGAGTGTGTCCTTGACCACGGTATAGAATCACTTGTTTTTTATATGCGTCCGATTGTTCTCTGTGCAACTGTTGCAGCTGTCGATGCAGGCCGCGGATGAAAAAGCCCATTTTTATCATAGTTCCCATATCAAGTGTCCATAGAGCACGGTTAAGCATACTATACAGAAATATATCACAGGTATACCACCAGACTGGTGTTTTATGGTAGTATTCTTGTTGAAACAGCTCCAATTGAGGTTCAGGAATGTTTTGACTACGACAATAAACTACTAAGTCTTGCAATGGTTTGGCATCATCTTCGTCAATTTCTAATAGAATCTTTTTAAATAGTAGCGAATACATAAAAGATGGTTCTAATTGATCGAGATTTTGTTTATCGGATACTGCTGGTGCTATTACTGTGTCTATCATTAACTTTGGAACGAAGCTCATTGGTATTGCATGATGATCGTATTCACGTATACTAGTTTTTAATAAGTCACATATAGACTGAATTGAAGTAAAAATACCTTGAATTTTCGACCAATCTTTTGTCCATTTTTCATGTAACACTTGGTTGTTAGAAAAGATGTAAATAGAATCTACTTGTGTCATCTGATGAATCTCTGGTACAAGATGTTGACCTAAATCATCAGAAGAAACAACAAAAACTTTTTTGCTATCTGCATCATTCAGAACTTCAATGCATTGTGTTGTGTTCGTACAGAGTCTAACATTGTTGACGACACTTCGTAATTGTGCGAGCATATGTTGACAATTATCATTTGTTTCATCAATAGCCTCGTCGACCCAAATGAGCAAATAATTTGGGACCATAAGCCGTCTTGGTTCGATGTTACTCACTGATTCTGTTGAAGCTGCAACATCACCTATTTTCCACAAAGACTTAATTTGTCTAAGTAGTTTTGCAGTCATATTGAGTACGAATTATTGCTTTATCTTTAACCTAAAATAAAGGATAATTATTTGTCGGCAAGAAATTTCTGTTAATACTCGATTATAAAAAATCTACACAATTGAAATTGAAACTATGACTGCGAAAACTTTGTTCATTGTATTATTATTCTTTTTCAGCTTTTCTTTACTTTTCATTTACATGATGATTGGAGTATCATCGCATTGCACACTGGATGTGAATGTCCGAAGGAATATATATTCAGTCGAGAATCAAAAACGTTATGAATGCATTTACATGTGTGTTTGCAATGATTATATTTTTGTTTGAGTATCGATACATTTTGGCATTTTTTCCTTTGCGGTTTTCATTTGACTCGAACGAAAAACAAAAACAGAAAGTGAAGAGTTTAGTAGCCCCTATAAGTTAACAAATCACAAATTAACTGTGAACTATGTAGTACGTTAAAAGAAAAAAATAAAATAATAGATGAGTGAACTTGATGAAATTAAAATTAGAAGTTTTTGGATGACGCTTCGAAATAGAATTGGTCTTCTTCCAACCTTGTTGTTACATACACATACGTTTGATATTTAACCTTGTACATTAATATCCATGCTGTAGTTTATTTATACATTTATTTCTTTTTATCTTGTGATAATGATACAGAAACGATAAGACACCTGGTTTTTTTCATTCATACAACCATTCAAAGAAAGAAAAAAATATATATACAATCCTGCATGTCTACAATGAGTATAAGAACAATAATCGAACCTTTTCTGAAATTAGATTCTAGTGTTCTTTGTAGTTACTCTTAAAGTCCCATTTGAATTTTATTGCTAGTTTAATAGTGTAAAAAAGTTGAATATACTCACGCAATAAGTGATACTAATGTATGTACACGTTTTGTCTTATATGTTTACAAACGATTTCACTTCGTATTTATCTCTGATTAAATTGCATGGTATTTATGATTACTCACATTTTCTTCATTTTAGTTAATGAAGCATAACATTTTTGTTAAGCAACACAGTCATTTTTCATATATACACTCATCACATGTGTTTTGTTTTATTTTGTTTCTCCTCATTTTTTTTTGTCTTACTTTGTGTTTCGTTTCGTTGTGATGAAAAAAAAAATATTAATATTTGTATTTTACCAAAAAATTGTAATCAAATGTCGAAATTTCTCTCTTCACGAATTAAAAAAAAGAATAGTTATCTAATCTGATGATTATGCAATGTCAAAATATTTATTGGTAAATCATCATTCCTGTTGATCACTTTCATATAAACATGAGAACCATGTGAGAAAATATCATAGTTATTTCTTTAATTAGATATAAAAGAAATGAAGCACTTTATTGTTCGTTAAAATATTATCAGTTAATTTTGAATCATCGATGAAACGATTGCTTTCAAACACAACGGGTCTAAATAGAGCCCGTGAAACAAGACGTATACATTTTCATTTTCATCTATATAGACACCCATGTCCTTCAACAAGTTAGACTGCTTCACTGAACAATTTGAGGAGCATTTGCTGGATGAATAGGAGAAAGATAATTTTGATGCTGAAGAGATGTTCAATTATTTGTATTAGTTGATGTTTTTTTCTTTTCATTTTTATCAATACAAGTTAAGAGGTACGACATATCGCTCACAATAGTAAATGTCTGTGATACGTCATGTATGAAAACAAATTATTCGGTCATTGATAATCATATTTCGATAGAAAAAAAGATTTGTTTTACAGTGAAATTGATAGAATTTCAAGCTTTTGTAGATACGTAATTTTTCATTATGAATTATGAATTTTCGAATAGATCATGATTTCTTCATGATAGTTTACATGTTACTATATTTCTTACTTCTGTGACTGTCAGAAACTTCAATTTTTCAACCATAAAGTTAGTGCAAAACTTTATGATACCATATAGTCGATATAAATGATACACAATGTATATCCATACCAAGAGAGGATGTTGTGGTCGTATTAGGAATAGTCGACTTCACTTTAAGAATGCATTCATCATTTTTTCATACTATGGGCTATTTAATTTCAGTCTGAATTTATCAACTAAAAATAATACTTGATTTCAAACTGAAACGTGAGTCTAGGAGTGAGGGTGAGGGTGTGCTTGTGGTTTTGTGTACTATAGGCTTTAGTCCCCTGCACAGGGGACTAAGCGGGGACTAAGCTTTTTGTGGGGGGGACTAAGGGGGACTTTGCAGGACTAGGGGGGACTAAGGGTTTTTAGTGAGACTACGTAGTTTCAAGCGAGAAAAGTTTGATTCGGAAGAAATTGGCGTGGTTTTTTTGATTTTAGAATTCAATTTGAAATAAAAAAGCCCATAGACTCCATTTTTTGGAGGTAATTCTAGTAAACTTGTTGATAGTATGATATCTACTCTTGTAGTTTCAATCGATTGATCGAATGCAGCCAATGCTTATGATTATAATGAGTAAATTAAAAATTAAGAAAATATCATGAAAACTTGATCAAAAATAAAATTTTATTAATACTTTTAAGAATGTATGGTTCCATTTCAATTCTTCATCAAGTAAGTATTGTTTGAAAATGATTTTGTATTTTTCGCTGCATTCTTTTAAGTTCGAGTCAAGTAATTACATTTTCAGTAATAAAAATAATAAATAGAATGCAACAGACAAATATAAAAAGAAAACCAATAAATGCAACAAGAAGTACAAGTTTCTTACAACAAAAAATATAATCGATCATTGTATTCCATAAGTAAGATAGTCCAAATAGAAGCAATAAGTACGATAAGACTGTAGTGAATGGCTGTACTGCTCACCTAGGGTTATTTAAATATTAAAATTTCTTTTATTGGTAACTAAGTTATTATTATTTACTTATAGTAATATTTTTAGCTAGAAACGGTCGAATAATAATATAAAATTGATTAACATTGATATAACCGATAACAAAAAATTGACGATATACCTATCAATGGAAGCATTGTGCATGAACCAAAACGACCGGTTATGACAATGAACACAACGAATATATGTGGTGGTGAAGAAATAGCCGTGTATCTTATAAAACTATAAATTAAAGCTCCGTTCAGAGCAATATCAATAAATGGAGCAATGCATAATAATATGCCAATAAAACAAATCATACTACAATCAACTGATTTTGAACGTCTCCAAAACAAAGAATCATCAGAAGAACGATTTGAATTAAGAATTAAAGAACAATCGAACCACATTGTCAATATTTCTGTTTAAATAAAATAGAATGAGTTTATGTCTATAACGCCTATTCTTTTTTTTAGAGTTAAATAGATTTTTAGTAGAGAAAGAGATAAAACTAGATGCAGAAGTAGGGTGCTGGTATACATCCATACTCACACTCCAAACCTACATCGACATCCACACTCTTACGTTCTATACGAGGCTAGAAACAAATTAGAATATCACTCTTTCTCATTTGCTACTCATTTATCAGTCGAATATATGTACTAAACTTAATCATTTATGTAATATAAACTGATACTGTCTTTTGTTCAGCAGACCTTTGTCAATACACAGAGCGCAAGTTTGTTTTTCGTTCTGCTCATGCTTCAACCGAGGAATTTGCAGGCAGATGTGAATCAGACTATGGATGAGTGTGAATGGAGAGGCGATTTACATCCACACTCTCAAAATTTGTTCCAGCTGAGCTCATAATGTAATATCTGCATATATAAATGGTGAAATTATATCAGTTCACTTTGCAACTCATTTTCTAATGCTACAAGTATTCAATTGTTCTGTCCTGAGAACTGCCTATTCTAAATAGCTATAAAAAGAATTTATTAAGGGGGGCCCCCCCTCAGAAACGAACTTTGCTATTTTCTCATCCGATTTCAACGAAAATTTCAGAGAATTTTAGTCTTGACTAGAATAGCTTATGGTTAAAATATCTCCCCCAAATCTCAAAGATATGCACAAGTTTCAGTCAATTCATTACCTTTTACGCGGGCAAGGTTTTCGATATAGGAACCCTACCTAATTATGTCGGCGTGGTTTTTAAATTGTAGAGTGCCCTTAGGGCTAGGTCGTAATAGAGTCCGATTTTGGAATTTCCCTTTGTTTGATTTTTAAAAATACTTTCTCAAAAAACTTTCAAATTCCAAGCGCTAATACAAATGAAGTGTCTAGGTTTTTTATTTCAGCAAAAGGGAAATTCAAAAATCGGACTCTATTACGACCTAGTCCTGACTGCCTGCTATACAATAAAAAAAAATTATCCCTTCTCTATTGAGTCGTTATTAAGAAATCCTTGTCCGCGTAAACTGCATGGACGAAAAAATTGATTTTGAGAAAAATGAAAAACAAAGTTTTTTGATGCAGTAAGTGTCCTTATTCGAAATAAGTCTGCTTATCTACCTAGTATTTTCGGACTGTTCCTCAAGCTTTATTGATAGCCTGTATGTGGATATATCATAATACGGTTAATAGTACATATCATGCCTAAATTGTGGTCATGATTCCCTATACGTAGATGTCACTTCATGTCACACATGTTTTATCAATTTTCTGGTTAATTCAGGAAATAAAATTACATTTATAAATTTTTTCCTATTCAAGATGCTTGTATATATTTTTCTGGGCGCTCTGATAACGAAAATAGTTATTGCTTTTGTAAAGGTCTCGAAGAAAAATTTGTTTAGTAATTTTTCGACCAATCGTACCTCTGAATGTAAAAGTGGTTTTCTTCTGTACTTTACGTATTGCTTTGCATTGACTTTCATTTTTGATCTTTCATTTTTAGAAGTGGTTGTGAGTAAAATTATCTATTTCTAGATATAGTTTACTTCTAAAAAAAGCTTGAAATGCCTGTTACAAAAGGTCGTGTGTCTCGTAAGAGGAGCAAGGCTGCAATTTGTCGTAAAGCACGGTTATCCAGACTCAACCAATTAGACTTGGCTAGTCCAGCTCGTTCATCATCATCATCTTCTTTATCTGAATTATCTAATAGTATTGAAGAACTATTCATTAATTCATT